CTTCTGTAGTCAGCTACATGGTACTTTTAAGTCACCTATATGGATATGTACAATCCATACTGTAACCGTTGTTCCATTGTCAAAATAATACAGGATTCAAGAGCATTGGATACCTTTTTTACAAATTCTCAAGTGGAACAATCTACCATAAAAACATGGCATGAGTAAATGTAAATATCTAACGTCTCAAATACTAACTACTGAGGATTGAAGAACCACCAAGTGTAAAACCGTGAGTTGATCTGCTCCCAAATTTTCTATATGTAATGCTCCTTTGACAAAGTAATTCAGAAAGAGAGCATGTTTGCATGAGAGGTCCGTAGTTCTAAAAAATTAATTATTCAACTTAATTGTAACTTCAGCTTCTTACTTGAGTCGATTCTAATCTGAATATGGGCCAGGAATAGTTAATAACTTGCGGATGGTTTCTATTTGTGAGTTGGGACATGTTACTCCATCACTGCTGCAAGTTTTTGTTGCAATCGCATAGTATGAGCCATGTAATTTCTTGATTATACAGCACTATCCATAGTTTCTGACTTCTTGATACCGACAGAATTGGTCATTATACAGCCTTGATTGCGGAAGCTCTCAGGTGGTTCTTCATCCAAGGGCTTGAGCACTGCTCCTGATTCAATGTCTTCTTCAGGAGACTTGTATCCTCCTCCTGCATCAGCCTCAGGTGGCCTAGAAAATACATTATATTACAGAAAAAGAAAGAATGTAAAACTGAGTGTAGTCAGAATGGTTATGAGCAGAAAGTGGATTGCTGAGATCATGGAATTCCGTACTCTAGAAATCAAGTGATTTCAGCACCAACTAAAAGGATCTTCAGCTTTCTGTTTGAAGAGAACAACAATTTCCTGGTGCAATTTGCTTGTGAATAATGTTGTGTACTATAAAATATATGGTAGTATGAGAGGGCAAGGAAAACTGGAAGTGCTTGTACTTAATTTTGTTTCACTGAAGAAAAATTGAAGAAAGAGTGTATACATATATATATATATATATCATGAGTACCAAAGCAACAAAATACCAAGAAAAGGATTAGAAAGTGAATGAAGTTTGGACGTGAAAATAATCAAGAAACAAAACACGCTATTGTTTACTAGTATCCGAAGCCTATTTATAAGTAGACAAGAAATGGTTGGACGCTCCCCTCATAAATTGAGGTGGTCTTAATAGACAATAATGTGTCAAATACGTCGATTTCTATCGACTTTTTTCTTTTGTTAAAGTAGCAAGGCAACATGTACAAATTGCTCATCGACAAGTTAGTGTTAACTTAGACGACTTGTACTGAATTATGTGCAATTTGAAATGGAAAATTATGATTTTGTCTTTTTTTTTTTTTGGAAAAAGAAAAAAAGGAAGAAGAGCCAGACAGTGGTAGCCAAGACCTTTTTGGATCCGTGCAGAATTTTAAAAAATAAAAACAGTACTATTTTTTCTACAAATCCAACAAATAAAAATTGTCCCACCCACCCCGCTTTAACTTTTTCATTTTGCTTTTCGTGAAAGTCATTCTATACTCAAATTTTATATACGTAACGTGGATTTAGATTCGTTAATATATACACGGCTAGTATATACGGAAAAGATTTACCGTTTTTCAAGAGTTGGAAATTACTACTTTGCTTTGCTAAAATATCGAATCTAATGGGGGATGGATGGGCTTGAGGTGATGGGGTTCGACGATAACTCCATTTTGGATCTAACATAGGTTATGAACTTATGATGATGGGTGTTGGAAACACCTTGTATTGTAGATGCCAATACTCTTCATCCAGTTGAATTGGGCCAGAACCCATGCTGGGCGTAGCAATAAGGAAATTCCTTGACCTGTTTACCCAAATCATAGTTTGTAGAAACTCCTATTATACTCGTTTATTAAATCTAAGCATAATTCCAAAAAATTTTGATATTGCATACAATTTTCAAGCACCCTAAATAATATTTGTACTTTCTGATGGAAAAATGCATAAAACACGTAATAAACTTTTTCCTTATTAAATTTCACAATTGTACTTCAATTTAGAATAAATTTTAAAATTTCTATTAAGATAAATATGTTTTTTAAGTGTTATGAAAAAAAAGGAGACTCTTATTGGCCTTTTTCATATAGATTCGTATAATATCAACAATTTGATGTGAAATTATAACTAATCTTATATCTCATGTATAAGAATATGAGTCAAACTGATGCTAATATAGCACAACGTCTGAAAATCATAGTAAATGAACTTTCATTTGGAGTTTCATAAATTTTAAACATATTTTTATTATTTACATATGTATTCTTAGAGCGTAATTTATTGAACTTGTATTTTTTAGACTAACTTTTAATCAATCTTTTGAGAAAAAACTTGTATAATATGTGTACAACAATAGTATTTTTGCATTGCACTCTAGCCTATTTTACTAACTACAGTCCTAACTTCTCCACACAAAAAAAATAAATAAATAAACCTTAGTAACAAGAATTAAGAATTGTCCTTATAAAAAATTAATAGCGTTTTAACTATTAGTGGAACTTGTGTTTGAACTTAAAGTCCAGGTTTGACAACAATTCGTCTAGTCAAACTATCCAACCAATGATATAGTTATATTATTAAAAAATATAGTTATGCATTATTTAGAATAACTTTAATTGTATTTCTTTGTCTAAAAAAATAAATAATACTAATTTTATGTATGATCACTTTTTTTGAGTAAAATATTATATATATTTAATAATATTAAATATATTTATATTTGTATTTATTTATTTTTATAATTATATATGTGTTCATGAGCATTCAAATAGTTCGCGAACAGATTCGTATTCAGTTCGATTATTAAACGAGACTAATATTGTGTTGGAATTCGATTCATTTAATAAGCGTTCGAACTTTAACGAGCCAAACATGAACATGTTCACAATAATTTGATTTATTAAAAGCTTTGTTCTTTTTTTTTTTTTTTTTTTTTTTGTCGAAACGATAGGATTCCTATAACCTAAACTAGCCTATTCTAGGGGGGAGGGGGAGGGGACTCGATGTGAGTAGAAACTCCATCGAAGATGGCCAAAGAAGACCGTCACAAATTGTGACAAATTTTTGAGGGAGGCAGGATTCGAACCCAGAACCTCTTTGCATCACCAAACCTTAGAAGGCTTGGGATGACCACTGGACCAAAGGCCCAATGGCTATTAAAAGCTTTGTTCAATACTACCAAATAAAAGTATGCCATATTCAACTTTGTCAGACCCATGAATTTTGAATTAACATGAATATCATGTCAAATCGTTCATATATTCTCCTGATGAACTTTCATTGGTTTATGTAAACTTACTGCAAACTTTCATAGCTGGGATGCAACCTTCTTGATGGTAACTATGTCAAGTGCCAGCAAATTTGAGCTCGAATTAAGGATGCAGACCCGTTTTGCAGTTCTGGGCTATTTAGAGTTTTAGACCAACCATAATGAGAATTGCTATTTGGTGGTTTACAATATTAATTGTGATTGAGACAAATTGTTTGGGTGGACTGCTGGATAATTGGATTCATTGCCGAAAAATGCAAGAGATTTTTTTTTTTTTTTTTTTTTTTTTTTGGGATTGGTTGCATATGGTGGGTACTATACTATGCACCATGACCGTCTTTCTGGTTTAGGATTTAGGTTCAAAGTTGGTAGCCTATTTTTTTTCCCCCGAAAGAGAGTTGGCAGCCTATTTGAACCAATAGATGTGTGTATACCTGGATGCATTTATTCTCTCCCACAAGAAAAAAGAAAAACAAAAAAGAAAAGTTGAAATTGAAGAAACAAGTCACAAGCCATAACTCATAACTAACATCTCGAATAAGAAGCATGTAATTTAAGTGCTTGCTTTCTCTTTTTCTTTTTTCTTTTTTTTTTTAATTATTAAGATTTGATCCAAAAGTTCTGATTTCTTGGATCTCAACCTTAACCGTCAAACAGTTAGTTTAACGCGGGATGACATTCTTACTTTCTAGATGTTTAAACTAATCATGAATTTTCTCTTTATTGACAATCAAGATTGGACTAATATTCCATTAACGATTATCATATTGTTACTTCAAAGTTCAAAGTACAGCCATTGAAAACTTTGACAACTTCTGTTTTTCATTACGAATATGAGAAAGATATTTTCTGGAACATCCATCCGTCTCACAAGATTTGTTTAGTGTGTCTTACCCTTTCGCGTGATTGACGGGTTATTGTACGGGTGAGATTTACTCAATGCACACTTTCGAATAGCAATTTCGGATCCCTTATCAACAATAGAGACTTGTGCTAATAAAAATGCTTTGGCAGTCCAATGACTTTCTTGGCCATTGACCCGAGTAGTTGAAGACTCGAGACTCTCAGTTCTTAGTCTTTTATGCGAATTAAAACTTCTAATCTAAGAATTTAAAGAATTAAGTCGCTCTTAGACATTTTTTCACTTGAACAATAACTTTGACCAGGGCAAGATTGTAACCTTCCTTCAACGATGATAATCTAAAATAGGTCATAAGAATTCAATGTTACGAACCACAACAGATGCATCGTTGAATGGGGGGATATAATTGATGTCTCGTATCGAACCAAAAACCAAATAAACTCGACTAGATTTGGGGTGTTCATCGGATCTAATGCGTCGGATTTAAACTTTTAAAATAAAATCTTAAATCTAGTTAATCTCGTTTGATTTTCATTGGAGTCGACTGGAACGTCAATTGTCTGGTGCAGTTGCTCTAAGTCGAGAAGTTCTTAAAGGCGTGCTAAGGTCCAAAGAATTCATGGCGCTCCGATCTCCACGCGTGGAGTGGAGTGGGGAAGAAAGAAAAGCTACAATAAACTAATAATAATGATTACAAGATGGTTTTTAATGCGTGCAAGTATGTGCCACATGCATCATCAATACCTCAATTTAATACATCACAATATTGACCAGCTCAAGCAGTAAAGAGTAGACGCCATGTGAGGTAATGATAGGTCAAGTAAAGACAATTTCATTCATAAATTTTGAAGTAAAAAATAATCAGTATAATTTGTTAGGGTAAAAAAAAAAAATAACTGAGCAAACAGCAGCGTCCTTTTCCATTCAGTGATCAAACTAGAATATGGAGCAACAAATTTGTGCTGGGATAGCGTCCTTAACTTGGCTTAGATGGCCTTTCTCCTTCGTCCCCTAAAATTAGTGCAGTTTTATTGTTCAGGAAAGGGACATCGACCCACCATTCTTGCAAACTTCAATAGCTTCTGCTGCTAATCCTGGACCAGAACTCATCTTAGCTGATGCTCCAAGGCACCATCTGGCTTCTGCGTTCTTGCCATAACGGCACCGGAACAATCCAGTTGTAACAACAACGTACCGTATACCTTTTTACAGGGTTGTACATCGTGCAATCATTTGTTCAAGAAGCACAGAAATGTCAGACCAAATCCACTTTAGCCAGGAGACAGTTTGTGGAGTACAATTCAGACATTTTGATCATCATTTGGGTGTCCTCTTGTTCTAGTTGGGCCGTCTCCTAACATAAGTTAGAGTAGGAATAGGAGTTGCCGGTTGAAAAAAAAAAAAAGGATAAAATACCAAAAAAAATTTCCTGTGATTTGACAAATATTCAATTTAACTCCCTCTGATTTGAAAACCTACACTATAACTCCCTATAATTTTGACTAAATTGAAAATTGGACAGAAAGTATCAAATCTAATGGTTGTGTGTAAAATATCAATATTGCCCCTCCTATACGTGAGATGCTTTCCATTCAATTTTCAATTTAATCGAAATCGTAGGGAGTCATAATGTAATTTTTCAAACCAGAGGGAGTTAAATAGAACATTCAACAAACCATAGGGAATTCATTTATATAAGGGCAATATTGACATTTCACGTATAACCGTTAAATTAGATGCTTTCTGTCCAATTTCAATTTAATTGAAACCACATGGAGTTATAGTGTAGGTTTTCAAACTAGAGGGAGTTAAATTGAACATTTAGTAAACTACAAGGAGTTTTTGGATATTTTAATAAATAAAAAAAAGTAGTTTATGTATGAAGTACCATTGCACATAAACGTTTTACAAGTACAATTCAAAAAAAATTAAAATATTTTTTTGACGCTAAACATATTAAAATCAAATAAAATCCCAAACAATATGAATTGTTTGTCATAACGTGAGTGAAGTGCCAGGAGAAATGACAAAACATATATACACATATTGCAATTGAGAAAGTACAAAGATAAGTTGATGTGCCCAATAAATGCCTCCAAACTGCACCATGGGTTTCTGATTCAAGCTTTAGAATAGCTGCTTATAAGAAACAAGGCAAAAAGGGTCCCCAAGATTGTGGTCCATGGATTGGGATTGTCATGAATCATGACAACTAGGCATTTGTTAAGTGCATGCAAAGAAATTGAGGATGGTCACATTCCATTCTACTAAAAGAAAAAGAACAAGAAGATGGGGTTTATGTGTCATCCATCTCATTGTTGCATTGCATACCCATGTCAATCATTTAGTTTGCAACAATTTGATTGCCTTGTTTTCAAAAGGAAAATGAAACATTTTCAGACTAGCAAGAGGAAATGATACTAGTACTAGTCTTCTTTATGTAGTCACAGTGAAAGAGAGAGCATATTTTGTCTTGGTATTGTTCTTGTGTGAAAAGTAAGAAGAAGTTAAAGTCATTACTCAAAAAATGTGCTTCATGCTGCTTTTAAACTAATCAGTTATAGCTTTTCTCTAAACTTTTTGCTTCCTTGAAGCTTTATACCTACATGTCCCAGGGCACACTGATCTTGCATACAAATGTATCAAACTCAAAACCCCCAGAAAAACACCAAGAAATCACATATTCATGGAATCTGTAACCTTCAAAACCTAATTTTCATCTGCATTTTTTCTTTTTATGTATTATTTCCTTTTCTGCAGCAGTAATCATTCCTTGAATCTAGTATTAATGTAACAGAAGCAAAAAATAAAATAAAATAAAACAATGGGATGTCAAAATCAATGATCTGAAATATTGGTATATTACTGCATCTAGCAATTTACAAGTAGAAAGCGTGATCATTCAACAAGATTCTTCACTTATCATCAAGTAATTGTAAGTTTACCAAGATCCAAAGAATGAGATTTCTACTCCCTTCACGAGTAAAAAAAAAAAAGGAAAGGAAAAAAAATATAAAAACAGAAAAGGGAGAAAATCAGGAATACCACGTGTTATGGGCACCTACAAGCATAGATCAACAATGAGAAATCAACTTTATCTTGATCCTTCTGCACAAGTTTTTCCTCCAACCACAATCTACTATCCATCCCACTTCTTGTTCTGAACATGAAAACAGCATATCCGGAAGCCGGATTGAAGAACCAGTCATGAACATCCCACATGAGATCAACCAATAAACCATCAAGAAATATGGTCTGATTTCCTCTGAAATTCCACTGCAGCCTCTTAACTCGAGTTACCATCTTTTTATCAATGCAAACTGATAAAACTGGATGCTTTAACCCTTCATTTTCACCACTGCACCTTATCAGAATATCATGACAAGTGCCTGTATCACAAAATTGAGCCTTGGTTGAATACAGGGTATTGCCAGAGAAGTGCTCTTGCCTTGAAACTAGCGAAGATTTAGCAACCGGGGTGGCGCTTTTCAGCTTTTTCGAAGATGCTTCTTCAGCCATATCACCAAGAATTAAGCAAAGTTGTGAATCAACCGTGACCAGAACATAATATCCATCAATCGGTTCAGGGCCTGTATTGTACCTGGCTGCAGAGAGATCCCAAAAGACTTCAACTTTGTAATCATTGAATTCACAACATTTACTGCCTTTCTTCTTCCTGAACAACCGAGAATTCGTATTGAGCTTGAAAGAATTGGATGGATCATCACCAAAGTGTATGCTCAGGCCTTGAGAAGCAGAGTTCTTTGACCATGCAACTCTGATGACTAATTGATTCTGATTAGAAAGAATGGTTTTGTATAAACAAGTCACCGCATTCTGGACTGAAGGGATCAAATTTTGAGAGATGCAAGAAGTATTTGCATAACTAGAACAAGAAGCGCTATCAGAAACTTGTACAGCATATTCACTGAAACAAGAAGCAAAGTCTCTCATTGTAATAAACAGAAAAAAAAAGGTCAGATTTTCTTGCTTCAGCGAGGAAAATCTTATGGTACTGAGAAGAAAGAAGAGGATTGAATTGATGTCCAAAGACAAAAGGGTTTCTCAAGAATTATTCGAAAGAGGAAACCTGAGAGGAAGTTCAATGAGAGGAGAGGAGAGGAAAGGGCAAAGAAATCCAGCTTCCTGACAGGCCCATATTTATGTGTATTAAATATGATTCGGTCACCTTAAAAATTGCATCTAACGAATAAGGAAAGACCGAAAGAGCAGAACATTGAGACAGAAACTCTTGAACTTTCCATTTTTCTTACTGTTTCTTGCCAGTTCATGTGACATACGCAAAACTTAACAAGAAAATTTTAGGAATAAACACACGCACATACACAGACTTAATTAACTAATAAAGGATAAAGGTAGACCAAGAACAAGAACCATTTTACCATCTTGTTATTTGGGGCTCACAATTGAGCATAAACTGCTAACATAGTATGAAATTTGATGGGGTTTGAGCTAATTCTTGGTGCTGTGATTTGTGGAAAAAACGGCTTGTTAGGACAGAGGCGTGAATTGGTAAACCAAGTGTAACAGTCAAATAAAGGAACTAATTTCTGATTCATACCAATGCTGATTCATATTGGTAGTGAAAGGTTATGGGCTTTGGGATCATTTCGATTGAGGAATTACCGACCCCACGAATTTAAACCGGTCTGTTGACCCACCAACTCCTACTTCCAACACTTCTATGATTAAAAGCAAAGGTATAACGTGAGTTTCTACTTTCTTGGCAATCCCTCTATTTTCTTTTTTCTTTTTCTTTTTTTTTTGATGGATTCTTGGCGATCCCTCTGATCCCAGCTTCTTTATATTAGCAATAATAACAGTAATGAATAATTTTTTGTCAATTGAAGGATTCCCTGATGTTTTTCTAACACTATTTTTAAGCATTAGGAATTAATATTAAATGACAGTCGAAAGTAGGAATGTTTTTTTTTTTTCTTTTTTTGAAAGTAGGAATGTTCAATCTCATTATGATTTGAAACCCTATGACAGATTAAGGTATGGTATTATTCCATTGGTCCCTTCCTTGGCCTCCCTTAGGCTGTCAATCCCTTGGCCTCTTTCTGTCCTGATGTGGCACCAATCTATCATCCATTTTCGGAATACAAAAAATAATTTACAATTTGAAACGAACAACTTAGATTGAATTTATTTGATGTGATTCGATTTGGGCCATTAACCTTTTTTTAATAAGAAAAATCAAAGATTTTATTATTGAAATCGCTAAAAATTGTCTAGCACAATTTGCTTAATAAAATTAAAGTGGAATTCCACAGAGATTTGGGCCATAACCTTACTCTTCATAATTACACAAATTCATGATCCTCTTCTTCTGGCTCTCAGTTATTAAGTTGCCTCGAAGGCTTGAACATGAAAATTGATTCTGGGCTGTAAAGTTTTACGTTGGAGCATTAAGTAGTGTTTAGCAGTGGTTGTTTGTCGAAAGATGAAATTCAATTCCAATTACTTAAATCTTTTTTTATCATTGAAACAATAAAAAGTGCTGTAACTCAAGTTTCGCTAGAATTTGTAAATTTTAGAAAAGCACTGGTATGTGCTGAAATAGGGGACAAAAATATTAAAGAAAGAAAAGCCGAAAGGTATCTTCATAATGTACTTAAATGATTAGAAAGGAAGGGGTAATATGATAAGGTTTAAAGTTGTATGGAGTTTTGAAAAAGTCGAAACTAGGCAAATCAAAAGCTCCAAGAAAGCTGAATAGTATGAATCAAAAGAGAAAAAGGAAGAAACACCCAATCCACATTGCTCTAAACTCTGGATATATGCATGCATTTTTAAGATCATCTTTGTGAAAGTGCCAGAGATGATTACATCTTAATGATGCCTCCCTTTCCACCAAAAAAAAAAAAAAGATTACGAAGGGTTTCTCCAAGTGTCATAATAAATGGGAAAAGGAGAATCCACAACAGAGCCATATAAGAACTCAATTCTTTCCAGCATTATTACTTGTGATGGTGGGTTCTGATGATCTTCTTTTTTTTTTTTCGGTCGAAGGGTTCATATGATCAGAGGCAGTGCTTCTGGGGTATGGACCCCAAATGGTCAGTTCCATGGTCATGTCTCCTCATTATGGCAAATTAGTACAATGTACAAAACTGCTTGAGATGCCAAAGAAACCAAATCCGGTTAAAGGAACAAGTTGTTGAAACTTCTTTGTTCCGCTGCATCAATCTGGCTTTAATTTCTGGTTGCCATGAATGTTGTGCTGGTAGGACTTAGGAGTAGACAGGGTCCCAGATGGAGCTTATCTTTTCAATTTTATTTTTATTTTTCTATCATGCTCCATGATTTCTTGTTTTATGTTGCTTCATCACTCAGTTAGCCGTAATATATCTATATATATATATATAGTGATCCGAAATTTTTTATGATATTTTACTTCTAAATTAATTTCAGCTTAGAATATGCTAAAATATGATAGCCAAACATTGCTTGAGTTTAGTTAGAATTTTGCCTAACTTCAAAGGCCATTTGGTTTGTTGAGCCAACTCACAATTCAATGGGAACATGATCCTAAACTTACTCCACCAACTGAATAAACTACCCTTAATTATGTTGGTGATCCATATGTAGATTTTTGCAAGATTAGTTTATCACACGGTTATAATCTTTAGGATATTTATTTTTCTAAGACTGTGGTAGAGGTAAGAATTAATTTACAAATACTTGGCGAATGGAGACAAAGTACTAGCATGGGAATTGCCAAAATCTTTTAAGAAAATGGAAATCGTGATAAAATATAAGCATAACAAGGTCAAACATCCAACTCGTACTCCATCCTCCCACACTCCCTCAAACCCTCCTCTCCAAAAAACAAAAAATTAAGGACAAAAAATAATTTCAATAGTCTCAATTTTTAACTTCATGGTCTTCCACTTAAAAAAGAGAGAGAGAGAGAAAAAGAAGAAAAAAAAAATCTTCTATCTGCCATTGAATTTTGACCAATTAGTAGTGAACGTAGTACCGGTCAAGTTTAAAAGTATAGTAATTGCAATGATTAAGTTAAAGACGCACCAAGTTTAAATTTCATCAGATTCTTCTTCGCACGTTAGTTAAAGACGCACCAAGATTATGTTGACATCTTATTCCACAGTGAAAGATTTGGACCGTCATCTCAAGACCCAAAGCTCAACAAAATCATTATACCCAATTTATTTACTTGGATTTCGAATAGGGCGACATATAACTGAAATTCTTGACTACTGGAATTTTATGCCCTATTCTTGGTGGAGAGCATGGATTATTCGTTTAGCCCTATTAGGTCTTTAAGTTTATCATATGTTACACGTTCAAAAGTCAGCCGCCAAGCACCTAAAATCTCAGAACGTGAGGGCCATAATTGAAGCTTGAAGAGACTAAAGTAAAGAATCCAATTTCTGGTCAGGAAAAATTCTTCTGTGTTGGCCCTTTAGAGGATATCGAGAAGTTCTTGCTCAGTCCAAGGTACTGCATGCATGCTAATCAATCTTCTCATTGAAGTTACTACTACTTTGCAAAAAAATTAAGGAAGAAAGCAAGAAAGTATTTATCTAGTTCTAGCAGACAGACTCGTGTTACATGTGTTATTGAGCATGTTGAGTGACAATTAATCTCTTTTTTTTTTACTGCATAGAAGGTTGCAAATGCAAATGATTCACTTGGCTCTTGCATTAACTTTTGAGGCCAATGAAATGAATGTATCTAATGAGGAAAAGCACACGAGTTAGCTCTATGGATATGTTGTATCATATATAGATCATTGAGGTGGTAATATATATAGATTGTTTTGGCCTTTTTCTGATTATAAATGATGGAAAACTGCTGGAAATCAGGCTGTTCAAGTGGAGGAGGAAAAGAGACATTGCTGTTAAGCTGTCTTAGTTACTTTTTCTACTCAACTACCAATTAAGAAAACATGGAGCAAATTAATGATTAATTAAGAAAATAATATATAGTAGCATAACTTGTGTTTATATATATATATTTTTTTTTTGTCAACACAGGGGTGTCCGGGTCAAGACCCGAAGGCGGCCCGACTAATCCCCTGCGCCTGTAGTACAGCGCCACCCCAACCGCACCCAGGCGTTAGGTGAGGTTCGATCCCACGACCTTGCGAGTGGTTTTCCAGCTGCAGACCGGGTGATCTAACCCCGGGCTCATAACTTGTGTTTATATGAGTATGAAAAAGACAAGATTCACGTTAATTATAGGTAGTTGTCAGAGTGTTCACATATGTTTGAGAAAATGTCAACTAATTCCAAACTTCCAATCATACTTTATTTCACTGACAATTCTTGTCATTGTCTTCTGACCTGCTAACTAATAATCTAATCACGTTGTTTCAATCTTTCTGATGGGAAAAGGAGGAGGGGGGAAAAAGTGGCAAGCAATTACAAATAGTACATCGTCTAAATATAATGTCTAGGAATTAGCTTGTAATCCTATCCAACAGTTGGAAGATAATTTTGAAATTTCTTATATTTTTTAGATCCATTGCGTACGTTCTGTAATTTCTAATACATATTTAACCTGTTATTAGTGCAGTGATGATTATCGAATTATACTAGACAATTTCAGCTATTTTTTTAATGAAATTTGCTGTGTGTGTAAAGTGTAAACACACACACAAGCTAATCCCTACGTAACAGTTACAATTTGAGTGTTGGTGTTAATTAATGAATTTGCAAAGTCAGAAGCCCTCAACAATACAGCAAACCTTGATGCTTCATTAGCTCCCTTGCTTCTTGGAAACTGTCTGCCACTGGCTTTCCTGTCTTTCTGCTTGATTGTGAAAGCTACTTGCAAATACCTTTGATCCTTTATTTTCGGCCAAAATTAATTTGCTCCAGTCTTCTAAACATCGACTTCGTCCATTTGCTCCCTTATTTATTGAACTACAGATGTATCCAGTAGGATTAATTTTTATTTTTAGTGCTTCTTCAATTGACATTTTGGCCTGGCAATAATATATACATTGACAAACCTATGAATGGTACTAGAGCTTTTAAGTTAGATCTTTTCTGGAAACAGTTATGATTTCTGTCCTCTTCAGAACCATTTTCTTAGTTAATTGTTTTGAAACACAAGAACATCATAGAATATGTGACCAGCTGAAGGATCAAATTATATATGTTCACAAAATCCACGAAGAATCATTTACTTTTTTTGAGTCAACGAGCGTGGGAATATTTGCATAGTTCAGCAAATCCAGCAGAATGTGAATATTCAGCTCACTATAAAACGTCCGTGGGATTAATAATTATTATTAATTTCTGTAGATTAAATATCTTTAATGGGAGCCTTGTAGGTTAGGAATTGGACCAGAGCCAAAGGGTTGGTACCTGAGAAAGACGATAACATATGAGATGATCCTCAATTACAAGTAAGTAATTCTCTTTAGATTTCAATGTTTTTCTTTTATTTCTGTGGTAATTGACAACAAAATTTTGGTTAACCACCAGATAAGTTTTTCTCTTTTTTTTTTTTAATTTCTACCTATTTATTCCTTGCAAAGAAGAAATGTATGATCTGCCATTTGGCACGAGACATCTAAGCCTACAACATTTTAAAAAAAAAAAAAAAAAAGTTCTACTTTGAG